CAGACTTGCTTCGGATGCTGGATCTGACTTATATTTTCTATACAAGAGACCAGGTTAAAGTTTTGGGAACAGATCAATCCGAATGAACTTGGAAGTCCTTGATTACTGCAGTATTAACAGTTATGAATATTTGTTTACACTATACATGTTTTTCACGCTACACACGTAGAAATGTGTATATGCCATGAAAGGGGTTAAACACAACTTGCAAGAATATTGTTTTTTGGGATGAATACTAAATATTAAGAAAATATGATGTGAGATTTGCATTACTTAAACTGATAACATTCGTCGAGGTGAGCTTCGTAATCTTTGATTACCTATGTTGTTTTACTTAGAAAACATTGAATTGCTGCACAGGTAAATTCCGGAAAAGAAAAAAAAATTATGTCGGAAATGAAAAAAAAAATGTCAGAAATGAAATTTTAAAAATGTCTATTTTTATGTAAATGCTATGCATATTTCCAGAAATGAAATGCAGCGAAATTATTGCCCCATTTGGACCTAGGATGGGGCCACAATTATATGAAGTCACCTTTTTATATTGTAATGTGTTGGAAACAAATCTTCAAAATTTCCTCTCAAGAACTAATGAGGTTCATCTTATCATGTTTAGGTTATAGGGTAGGGTGGTATAATTTCGACCGATTATTTTTTTGTACTTAAGATTTGTGAAAGTATGTCACTGTTGTGTTATGCTACAACTTTTAATGGATCTTTGTACCTTCGAAATACCTTTTATCTTTCAGATTACATCGATTTTGTATATATTTTTGGTCATAATATGAAATAAATGCATTTGATTTACAAGATATGTGTGTTGGGTAATTTCGACCGCACACGGGGTATTATCAACCGATGAGCCAATACAAAGGAAATAATTGGCGTCAGCTGCAATGTAGTAAAAAAAATACATGAATTTGAAATTTTTCTTCTGTACAGCATAAAAGATCGAGTTAAAATATGACCAAAAAAAAAATGACAATTTTCAAAATGTACCTAATTCGAAGACATCGAGTGCACCAGATATGTCTGTGACGCCGATTTGCCAATTGGTAAAGGCATGCTACAAATCTACATGTACAGGCATCTAAACTGCATGTAAATAAAACAAATGATTTTTCACTATTGTAGTACTAGTTTCTACCAGGTATTAATGTATATAATTCTAATCCTAAAATTTTTTTCGGGACAGTCATGAATTCTTTCTGCTGACAGGTAGTAAATTGCGTCATTTTACATTGGTCGAAGTAACCCACTGACGCCGTATTCATATAGGGATAACTTTGGCGGATTTCTGTTCGGCTGATTTGCAATTTAATTTGTAAAAACTAAATGCTTTAAATTAAAAGGGTATTAATTTCATTTTCAAAATAATATTTGATAAATGTCACTTCAGGGATATCCATTGATTGTCTTTCCATATAAGATTTTTCTGAGGTGATTGTTCGCCGTAGTGGCAAAAAAATAGACTTGTCTGTAATTTTTTCGGGTGATAAAGCCTATTCTTTGATGTAATTTTCCAATAACGATCTTCATAACGCTCATGGAAATAAAATTAGTTTGGACACAATATATCAAAAATATGTTTTCTTTCTGCATAATATAAATGTACATACACAATTATACGCCATAAACAAAATATATTAAGGTATTTATGAACGGTCGAAATTAACCAGGTGGTCGAAATTACACCACCCTACCCTATCTTATTTCTTAAATGAAACCTCAATTTAATGCTCTGTATTTAATATGGATGAAGATATAGCAAGTTTCTGGCTTTTTCAGATATTTCTTATCAAGGGATATTAGTTTTTATCATTCATGACCCATATGGGCTTCTTTTCTTCATTGGTGTTTTAGTTAAAATTAGCTTTATTTTTCAAAACGTTGGTAAAGCATTTTCTTCTTCTGCAGAACCCCCTTTTATCACATACTTATTTATCCCTGTATCAAGAGCATATCACTCATTTGATAAATTTTTATGTCCCTTATTAGAATAATCAAATGTAAGTCTAGTGTAATCCAGGCAGAATTCCAAATAATTTGATCAATTAATGCATTGAAATAACTGATACATATAACTCTAAGAAAAGTGTTTTTACTCTTTATGTAATTGCATACTATTTTTTGCAGTAATTGTATTACATTTGTCATTAAAATCAACTGGAAGTGAAAATCATGGGGTAAAAACCTTAAGAGAGCTTAAAAACTAAATAAAAAGGAATATCCCAAGGTTTGTCATCTTCTGACTTGATATGACATCTAACCAATTTGATTATTTTTATCTCACTTAATTACATATATGTACTTCAATTTTTCTCTCCACAAGCCATAGGCCAGATAGCATTTAGCACATGTACATCTTTGCTTCTTTTTTTTTTAGTTAGAAAATATTATCATTCTTTGAAAGTAATGAAAAATTCATCTGACCGTTATAGGTTGTTAAATGTCACTTAGTTGGAAAGAAATAATTCTATGAAATAGTTGTGACAAAATTGATTAGATGAAACTAATATGATAGAAAAAGAATGTATTTACATTTGTTACAATTTTTTATAACAGTATTAAAAAGAGGTAGCTTTTTATACAGAGAGTTGTGGACCAGCCAATCATTTTGAAGAAATGTAAAATTGGCTTGTAGGACGTATGTATTAATTTTTGCATTAATTTTGTTTATATCATTAAATAATTATTTTAAAAATTTCGTGGAAAGCACTCAGAGCAGATCAGTTTCATAATTACAGAGGTTAGAAATAGTATCATATTCTTACACAAAACAATGCAGGGATATTACTTCAGTGAAAAACAATTTCAAAGAAATAGCAGTTGGAGGTTGATAATTTGAAACAGTATTAACCTGAAATATTAGAGATTTAATGCAACATTACAGGAAAAGTCAATTGAGGAATGATTATTTATGCCCTAGCTGTATTACTGGAAAATAAATTTTAATGGGGATGGTAAATTTATTTTTATTATGAACATGTTGACTATTTTAGATTTGATAATATAAGGAATTTAATGCATTCCGTAATATTATGATTTTAATTTTCCCCTCAAGCAAAAATGAATGGTGTTTTTTATTTACTTTTATTCAAACAATAAAAATTTTTAAATTCTGTGTACAGTGACATGTGCACATATGAAGTCAATGGAAATGACTGAAAAGGAAGATTTAGTTTGACATCTTGCTAGTCAATAAAGTTAAAGACATAGTTGCAAGTACAGTGAAACACGCTTATGATGAACAGACTTCTAATGATCGAATTAACACTTTAATACAGCAAAGTGATTTTCATCCCCTGTGACTTTAGAATATTTATTGTTAAATCAACAGATTTAATGAATTATGCTGATTAAACAAGCAAAATTTCCATCATTGGCACTTCATTATATAAGTGTGTTTTACTGTACTTAGTTTGTTAAAGGTCTCTGAAAGCAAAGGATTTCATATACCGTTATTGGATTGCCAAATCAAGTAAAAATTGCCACCGTTATTGGATTGCCAAATCAAGTAAAAGTTGCCATGTGCAACTTGTTTGACAGTTTTATAGTGAGAGAGAAAAAAATAGGAATTGTCACAGAGATTTTCTAGTCTGAAATTCATTGCTAATGTGAATTATTCCAAGTTTAAAGCTATATAAAATCTAACTTAATGTGTGATCTTATCCAAATCTCAAGCCAAACTAGGAAACATCCAGAGTAATTTCCATGAAAAGACAAAACAAAAACAATTGGATTTAAGCATCTAGAATTGAAGTGAAGGCCACTTAGAATCCATTGGATATGAAAATTAATTAATTACACATGTTCACGTTCAGAATCCTGTTAATTACTGTGTACTAAGTGAAACTAAAGGTGAAAGTGATTTTTAAACAAATGAAGTAAATATTTCATTAACTTTGAGAATATAAAGAACATCTGCTGGGCTGACACAAATGGCAAAGAAAAAAGTTAACTGTACATGTTTTTCCCTTGTTGACCTTTAGGCAGAATGAAAAGATACATTTGTGGTTGGCAGTGTGGTTCTTGAAAGACTATGTTTAATAGGGTACATAGTAGGGCTGTGTATTGAGCCAAAAATTTCGATACGATACGATACAATATTTTTTAAAGCGATATGCGATATACTGGATTCTAAGACAAGTCCATCAGAGAGGGCTTGTTAATCATTTTAATGCATAAATTTCATAACAATTAAGTGTTTTATTACCCATTTTGAAGTTTTTGTCTCATTGTCTTTACAAATAACACTTCAAACTAAAACTTTTCATGACAGTAAAAGCAACATGTTCAAATAATTTTCTCTTTGTATTTTGTTATAATTATAAAAACTGTGTTATTTCCTTACAAATTATATCATTACTGAACAGTTTTAATTCAAAAAAGTAAAATATAATCTTTGGTGATTGAAATTCCCATCTTTTTAACAGAATTAGAAGAAAAACTATTTGTCCGATACGTATTAGAAGTTAATTTTCGATACGATATTTTTCTTGAATATCGATACGTATCGATATATCGATATATTGATACAGCCCTAGTACATAGCAATCATCTTATTATATGAGCAATGTACAAATGTTGCTGTTGATGAAAAAAATCGTTTATGATCATTATGAACATGTGCAATTGCTAGGTTCATGATGTAATGATAACTGTACCACATACATTGAGTCCATCAAAAGCAAGTCAGTGTATCAGTATATAGTAAAAGACACATACAGTGAACATAGCTTAAGTTTATGGTCGTAGGGCCAGGTTTGACATTGAACATATTTGCCAAATACCTAAGGAATTGACAGGAAACATGCAAATGGAGATGATGGGTTAAAAAATTGGCCATTTGTTTAATGTCCCATAGCACTGTTTAGTAAATTAATGGTAAAATGATGTTTATTAATTAAAACAAATGGAATTTTTTTTTCTCCCTGTCACTGTACTATATTTTTTATTTATAGGTAAACTTTAAAGTTTATTTTGATATCTATTTTTAGGATGTGGAAGTGACGGGGGATAAGGAGGACAGTAGGTCCCTCCACATTACGATCCACAGACCGGCCAGTTCTCAACACACCCGGCCCGTCCCCCTCCTTAATGCCAGGTTCATCTTTGATGATCACATCCGATGTATGGCAGCCAAGCAACGACTCACAAAAGGGCGGATAAAAGCCAGACAACTCAAAATGCACATGATTGAGAAGTTGATCGACATTCCGGGAGATTCTAGTAGTCGACAAAGGCCGGTACCAGGTGAGAGTCACCTTAATTTCATATACTAGGTCACCTAATTTACTCACGCGCCCTGGGGTTTCTTTGTTGATAGTTGTCATTTATGTGTATGCATTAACACATTGAATTTTTTTTCCAAGAAGTGGTGAATAAAAATGCGTGTGATAAGTATTTTTGGTCATGCAGGGTTCAGCATTAGGTCTTTGGGACAAATGCAGTGTAGTTTGAAAATGTATTGTCTTATTTCATATATAATTTAAAGAGGTGAATTAAGTTAAGGATTTCAGTTGCACTTTTATTGTGCCGGTTAATTTTTTGCTACTTCTCTTAAGAACTTAAGAAAATACCTGTGAAAAGAATTTCTTTTTTTAGAATTAAAAAAAATACAAGGATTTTCATTTTATGATATCTTTCAAAAAGTCTTGATAATGTGTGTTGATTTTTTTGTCTATAAGAACATCTAATAGTACTATGATTTTTAATTAAGAATATCTTCGAAAAATGATCAGAAGTTAATCTTGCATAGAATTTAGAGTTGAAAGCCAGTTAGACCATAATTTAAACATTTCATGACTTAAAGGTATACTTATGTGCCACACACATTGTTTTTAGGAAGTAGATATTCTAAGATAAAAAGATTCCCAAACTGAGAGATTGTCTAAATAACATCTTTTTCTTTCATGGCAAAAAGATATCGATCCATCCATTGCTTTTGTTTCTTGGTTAACCATTTCATCCAATAAGATTTTAAAGCAATTATAAAATTATCTGTGTTGACCATTTAAGATACCCAGAAATACTATCTTGCATAATAACAATGGATAGCTCAATCCTATCAGACTTCCATATATAAATTCAGGACTCATTCATATTGTATCAAGACTCTTGTAAGTCTTCTTACAATACAGCTATGTATAGCCTTTTCCATGAGAAATGATTCAAGCTTAGGCATAATGAGTCTTAACAACAGTTGACCAAATAGGGGTTACTATTCTTTGTTTTTTGTAGTTAATGGTAGTTCCAAATTCTAAAGCTTAAGGAAAACTTCCTTAAAATTTTTTTTTATCATTTCATTCTGATATATTGATTTTGAGTCCTAAAAGTTTTGAACACGATTAAGTTGATTGTGTCAAGAGTAGCAATTAAAAGAAATATTTTAACCACCAAGGACAAGAAAAGTATTGAGATAATTTATAATTTTATATATTAACTGATTATTAAATGATTGCAAACTGACAAATTGCAAATAAAAAATGATGCAAATAATAATGTGGTTAATACAGCACTAAAAGCCCTGATCGGAAGGACCATACATGCATGGATGATGCATCTACCGGTAGGTATATACACACAGATTTATGACTGTCCTATAATTGTAATTATTGAAGCAGATTCATTCCCAAGTAATTATAATCTCTCTGTCACGGTGACCAAACTTGCATTTTGATGAAATAGTTGATAATCTAAGTTTTAGAGTTGATCATTCTCAAGTAACTGAAATACCTATTGGGCCTGAACTTGCCTTGATTATACTCGGGATAAACAGTACCAGATGTGCTTTGGAAGTTGGATCTGACCTGTATTTACAAGCCAGTTATGAACAATTAAATTTTTTTTGAAGCAGTACCAGTGAACGTTGTTACTTGATGAATCTCTCAGGGGAGGGGTTTTCTGACCCAGATGTAATTTACATTGACGCCTTTTTTAGCTCACCTGAGCTGAAGGCTCAAGTGAGCTTTTCTGATCAAAATTTGTCTGTCGTCGTTGTAAACTTTTCACATTTTCATCTTCTTCTGAAGAACCACTGGGCCAGTTTCAACCAAACTTGCCACAAAGCATCCTTGGGTGAAGGGGATTCACATTTGTTCAAATGAAGGGCCATCAGCCCTCTTCCAAGGGGAGATAATTATGAATTAATGAAAAATTAATGGTATCTTTTAAAAATCTTTTTCTCCAAAACCATTGGGCCAGGAAAGATGAAACTCATGTGGAAGCATCCTCAGGTAGTGTAGATTCAAATTTGTTCAAATCATGACCCCTGGTGGTAGGGCAGGGCCTCAATGGCTGGTCAAAGTTTTACGTAGGAATATATAGGAAAATTTTTTAAATATCCTCTTCTCAAAGTTTTACATAGGAATATATAAGAAATCTTTAAAAACCATTGCAAAGCCAGGATAGATGTAGTGAACTCATTTAAAATCTTTAAAAATCTTTTTCTCAAGAACTTTATCAAGAACTTATATGCAGTATTGATATGGAGGCATTCTCAAGTAGTATTAAAATTCAAACCCCCTCCCAACCCCCCAACCCCTCAGTAAACTTTTTAATTCGGATCTGATTTGTGCTTTTTCCTAGCTCAGGTGAGAGATGTGGCCCCTGGGCCTCTTGTTTCGCATTGCATGGCTAATTATACACAAGACACCTTTAGGCACAGTGCAATCTCTTTATTCTAATATAGTTGCAATTAAATGACAGGTTCACAACTTATGACAGCCATTGTGCATAAATATATCATATATCCTAGCTGTCCACTCTATTTTCTTTCTCTTTAGTTAAATATGATTATGAAATATGGTGAAGACATGAGCCATGGTGTTATTTATCACTTACTGAATCACATTCATATCTTCTTTTAAAATCCCTCATTTCTCAATTAACCAAGTTTCCATGCCATTAACTGCACTTTTAACTGTTTATCTACAATTTTGATGATGGGACGAAATTTTTGAGATTCATATTGAAATATCTATCAGATTGTTCATATCACGTGGTATTGGCAATATGAATTGATTGTCACCTGTTGACATTGGCATGTACTATTATATTGTTTGTGATCTTTTTGACTGACAGGAAATTTTATTGACAGTTATACTTGAAATGTATTCAAGTGAAAATTTAACATTTAAAGCTTCAAAGTATGAATTTTTTTTTTTCAAAAGTCAGTTAAAATAGTATCAGGCAAATTAACCAAAATAATTGTCTGCCACTATTTACCTACATATCCAAATTATCTAACAAATATCCCTTGAATGATCATCAAGCAATTCGGTAGATTTTGGCAAATGCAACGAGCACCACATAGATTTACCACATGTCATATAAAATAAATGGTGAAAAAACATGGTTCCTTAAAGTTTCTTTATTAAAGTGAAGAAGAAAAATGGTGTCCAAGATTGAGGCTAATTAAAAATATGTAAATGCAAATTGTGAATAATTATGTAATGTGGTTTCCTGATATGTCTGGAATCTCAGTGATTGTTGTACTGAGGTGCATGGTCCTCACAGACATCATTAAATTTTCCCTACCAAAGTTATGATTCAGATTTTAGGGGTGCAACACATTTTGGTTGCACCATGGTAAAAGCTGCACCAATAAGAAAAAAAAAGCAGGAAGTCTTATAAATACCCTCAAATCCAAAACCTTAATTAATAAATTGTTTTATTTTAATACAATTTATGTATTGAAATTGTTTTACAAAAAAAAAATTGTGTAAATTCTGTTGATGTGATTTTTTTTGCAAAGTAAAATTTCACGTGATAAGATGGATCTATCGAAGATATGAGCAAGGATATATTTTAAAACAGTTAAATATCAGAGAAAACAGCAGTAAAAACTGTATGCCTCTATTTCCATACATTTCCAAATTGCCTAACTACCCTTGAATGATAATTAACCAATTTGTCTTGGTCACAGGAAAATGCCGAATGTCAAGTAGATAATCAGGTCAAAGAAATTAAATGGGGTGAAATATTTGTTCCTTCATGGTTTCCAAATTAGAATTGAAGAAGAAAAATATGTCCAAGATCAAAAATATGATAATATTTGAGATGGTGTAAAAATTAATCGTTCCGTCATGGTTTCCTTATTAAAAATGAAAAAGAGAATTTATGTCCATTGAGGATTAGAACATGAAATATTATAGCCTTAAAAATATATCCCTTTGTATTAAATGACAAATCTCACGTTGACTTCCCTTTTGCGTAGTACATGATACCAAATATTAAACCACAGAGGGTATGTGCAAGAAGTGATTACAATCTGATGCTTTAATAACTTCCTATTAGAAGTGCACCGGGCATTTTATTGCAAAATCCGTTCAAAAGAAAGAATTATGTTTTGTTCTTTTACAAGGCAAGTTCACAGAAACCATGCACGGAAAGTTATATCATAATCACATGTCAGCCTTGATGAAGCTCCCGTTAGCCTTTAAGTGTATTCCAGGAAATGCATCATTAAATATATACTGCCATTAAAGTATGATAATGCAAAAATTTCTGCACAATTAGTCATTTTCCCAAACTCAGTGCTCTTTAATTGTTTTAGGGAATCAAATCAAATGTCAAGTGCCATTTTGAGATAAATAGATGCAGTAGCTATTATATTGAATTTTGGGAAATGTGTGTGTGCATTTTGAAAAATTTTTCTTTGCTGATAAGGTGAGTTGTGAGGATGGAGCCACAATTGGGGATCAAAGTTCTACACAAGATTGGATAGGAAAAATTTAAAAACAAATCGCCCATCTCAAGAATGTCGGTATCATGTGCAAGCATCCTCAGAGAGAAGAGATTATATAAAGTTTGTCAAATTTTCTCCTCTGGGGTATTTAGGTGAGGTCCCATTCGGGGTCATGATTCATGAAGAACAAAAAATCTTTTAAATAATCTAGTCAAGTTACAACAACAGCAGGGCCATAAGCAGTCTTATTACTGGTGAGCATGCACCCTAAGTAATGGAGATTGGAGTTTGTTCAATTCTTGGTCTTGGAGTCGGGGAAATGTTAAGGATGGACAACAGGGGATCAGAAGGCTTCAAAAAGATATTCAAACAAATTAACAATTAAGACTGTTCAATTCATGATAGCTCTATGGATAGGTTAGGGCAACAGAAAGGAATTTTACAGGTTTAAAAAAAAAAGTGAATTTAGAGCTCAGGCAAGCCCTGTGGTCCATGGAACTCATTTAAATTTTTTTTAGTCTGCTGTATCATGTTCAATATTTTCTCTTGAAAGTTTTGATTTTCT